GAATATTAAGAGAGAGGGACAGAGAGGGGGGCGGTGGGTGAGGGAGAGGTAGAAGAGAGAGATGCGGAGGCCGTGACGCAATATCCCTGCCTGAGTGAGGGAGTGAATGAGTGAGCATAGAGAGACAGAGACAGAGGCCGTGATGTGATACAGCATCCCCGACAGCCACGGGCGTCATGTTGGTCAGCCGGTAAACGCGGTCAGTGGGAACAATACACCCACACGAAGACAGAGTGCATGTAGAATGTCACTCGATGTTCGAGGGTGGTGAGCCATGGAGAAGGCGCTTTATCAGAGGTCGCGCGCTCTTGCGAGCGAGTCTCACCGAGCCTTAGACTCGCGTTGTGCAGAAGTGAATTTGTAAACAAACACAGTCCCCGAGCGTCCAATACGTGGAGGAAATAAATGCACGGGCGATGTTCGTACTGTACACGAACAGAATGCTTCTTTTTCAGCTTACGGCGCGCGAGAGCTCGCTGGTGGAACGGCAGGCGACGAGTGGTCTTGTTCTTTTTTTGTTGATCGTGAGGACCGCTCCAAAAGGCTGCGCCCTCGAGTACATTGTTTTTTTGTTGTTGGTGGTGGCGGCGTTGGTGGTAAATCTCGCTCCTGTCCTTGCTTGTGGTTGTTGACGTCTTGAGAACGAGAAACGTATCGTTGTGACCTCCATTCAGTTCCTCCTCCGCCACCACCCCCATCGTCACAACCCCTGTGCCAATATTTTTTTACGGTGGCCCAATAGCTTTCGGAATATTGTAACGGGCAATCTACATTCCACACATGGCGTGCCCGAGAATGAAAACTTCAATACAAACACACGAGAACTGAAAGCTTGCGGTCGAATCGAATGTTCCCTCTCCTTGTTTCAAAGTGTGACTCTTGGGTGACTGTGAGGAGGTGTCCAACTTTCTGTAACTGCTGTCACTCCCGCACACCTTCTGCAGACCGCACTGCGGCACGCGAACATGCGCTCGCTGTATGTTGTTCTTTTTCTCGTTCTTGTCTTCAGCGGGAATAAACCGTTGCGAGCTCTCCCCAGTTACTCGTCTGCCGCCCTTTTGAACCGATTCCCGTCGTGATAGAAGCTGTTGCGATATTTTTTGTGGTGGCGCATGGCCTGGCCTGCCGAATACCCTAGAGGACGATCTGCTCTCAAGTGTTAGCTATGTCGCCGTTGCAGGTGCCGAAGCAAGTGGGAACGAAGGTGACGTTCAAGGAGGAGCCCATCTACCAGGGTTACATCTACTGCAAAGTGAAGATGAGCCTCGAGGTTAGGATGTGCTGTTGTCGTCATAGTAATGTTTGTTTTTTTGTTCCATGGTGTGCTTGTTTACACGCCCGCGACATGGGTAACGATGTTACTGGTCCGTGACGTGGTCAACGACATGAGATAGTTTTGTTGTTTTTGACAGGTCCATGACGAGACAATCGACATTCGATCATCATCATTGGTAATTGTTGTCGACGACGTATCCGTGACATGCGTAACGGCTCGCGATAATTTTTGGAAAACATTTAATCACAGAAATTGTTTTTTTTCATTGGTTGCTGATAGGTCGGCGACATAGCGAACGACATGCGATATATATTGTCGACAAAGTAGGAGTTTTGCATGCAACTTTAAACTTTCTTTGATTGGTAGGTCCGTGACATAGTGAACGACATGCGATCATGTTCACTAAGTAGCAGTTATCCATACTGTTACAGATTCACTTTGTTTATTTGCTGTTGACTGTTGCGTGATTTAGTGAACGACATGCGATAATGTTTACAACGTAGAAGTTTTCCATACAACTACAGATTGAATTTGATTGGTTGTTTTGTCAACAGTTATGTGCCATAGTGAACGACATGCTGCCATAATGTTTACAAGTATAATTTATTGATTCAAATGCAGACTCAATTTGATTGGTTGTTGACAGTTCCGTGACATAGTGAACGACATGCTGCCATCACGTCTTCAAGTAGAAGTTACACATGCAAATTCAGACTCAATTTGATTGATTGTTGTTGACAGGTCCGTGACATAGTGAACGACATGGACAGGATCGTCGGTTTCGTCGGGGAGGCGAGGGACGAGGACAAGAAGCTCATCCCGGAGAGGATGGAACCAGAAGACATCGAGGGCATAAAGGCGTCGGAGAAGGCTCTTGGGGCCAACAAAATCGTGAGCTTTGTAACTACTGCGGTCTTGTTTTTCGTTCCTAAGCTCCCGTGAAGTGAGACACGCGCACGAAAAAACGAAACAAAGATGCTCACCCCTCATGCACCGCAAGATCACAACAAAGGGCAAAAAACAAATTGTTTGTGTCATGTCGTCGTTGCTTCTCTTCGCGTATATCTCCATCTATGCGGTATTTTTTGTTGGGCTATTGCTGAGCTATATTTCTACCATTGATCTATTTGTACCTCTTCGCGATCAGCCGAAGTTCCTTCTTTTTTTCATTGCTGTGGACGTTTGGCTCTTCCGTATCGCTTTCTCTTGTTCACAGCCCCAGCTGCTGGGAGTCGGCGATCTGGTGGAGATATCCGAGGGTCCATTTGCCCTCAAGAAGGGTGAAGTGTCCAAAATCAAAGACGGTGAGAAAATACCCCGAGGCACTGGTCCACCGGTGGCGTTAAGTATTTTGTTCTGATGCGGCAGAAACCAATCCTGATACCGCAGAAACCAATTTCTTTGAAGTGTATTTGAGTATCATGAATTCTGTAACTTTCCTTTTGTTTTCGTGGTTGGTGCATGGTACAAGTATGCCTGTTGTGTTTTCGGCGAAGAACAGGAAACCCTAGTGAAACTTCGAACAATCAGTCCAGGGGGTGTGTTATCTCGTGTCGTGTACGGTAACTTAGAAGTTGAGGTTGATGACATCGCCGAGAACGCGCGCATGAACGAAGTGAACGTAAGTTCAATTGATTTTCGGACACCTGCTGTTTGTGCAACGTTGTGTAATGTACACTTCGTATGACGTATGCAGGAGAGTACGTGGTGAAAGTTAACACCTTCGGGAGAAACTCTGACGTTAGGCTCGATTGGGACGGGGTCCGAAAGCTCACGGAGCTCGAGGTGGAGACTTGGTTTGAAGAGACGAGACGGGTGAGTCGGTTGGACAGAAAAGGGTATAACAATAGCCATATGTTGAAAAGCCTTGGCAAGCTGAGGCAGCTCAAGGTGGAGACGTCGTTTGAGATCGAGTGATCCAATTGGACACAATAGGGGACACGTAAAAAAAATCCGAAAAAGTGAAAAGGTGGGGACATGGGTTCAAGAGACGAGACAGGTTAGCCATTTGGAGCATATACCCACAACCGTATAGCCTTCAGACGGGAATCGAAGGCTGAGATTTGAAGATGTACAGGATGGGTGGGACGTTTGGACAGAACAAGGCCATACGAATATTTGTTGAAAAGGGTGTCGCAAGCTGACGGGACTCAAGGTGGAGATTTGTTTGAGGACAAGGTTGAGATGATTAGACACAATAGAGTACAGACACAAAAATGAGTGACATGTGGTTTGTTGAAGATTAAGACTGGCGATGTACCTGCTGGGCGAAATAAGTTGCCTACAATATCTTGAGGAGTGCATCGAAGGCTGACGGAGGTCCAGATGGAGACGTGGCTTGAAGGTGTACTGGACGGATGAGCCAATTGGACAGACCTGGTTGTACACACTCACGTAGACAAGAGGGTGCGGAAAATTGAACCGAAAAATAACTGCAGAAAAAGGATTATAACGTTAATCATGAAAACCGGACCCTCCAGTCGTCAACTGCTGTTATGCATAGATATGAGTTTCAAAATGTGGTAAAGCACGTTTCCTGTTGTACATGCACGATTGGAACCAACCATTCAATCAGGCGATGGACGCTACCTACATGGAGCGGCAGAGCGGAAGGGGGGGAAGGGGCAGGAGACGACGAGGAGGTGGCGGCTTCGTGTACGACAGCGACAGCGGCTACGAGCCGGGCAGGGGCAGGGGTGGGGGTAGGGGGGGGCGCGGACGAGGAGAGACGGCCGCCGCAGGGGGGAGGTACGATTTTTGTTGCTGTTGTTGTTGCCTTTTGTTGTTTTTTCCTTTCAGCCGACATTGCATGCATGTATGCATAAGATTGTTCGTTTTGAATGCGTCACAGACATTTTTGTTGTTGTTATATTTGGAGTCTGTGAGGTTTCGGCACGAGTTTTGGGGGGCTTTACAGAAGGCTTTCGAACAGTGAGCGTTGAGCGACACCAGCTGGATACCGGAGTTTGTTGGATCTGTTTAGAGCGCAGAGTAGGGTTTCGAGTTTTGAAAGGAACCATAGTAGTCCGGCACGAGCGATATTCCAATTTTTAAGCTTGTCCAAAGTTTGCGGGGATGGGGAGGGTGGCGTTTCCCAAGACGAACCCATCGAAACGCTATTCTGTCACACACTGCTTCTCATTCACGGTTCCCCCTTCCTTTTATTATTTCATTACACATCATAACCATCTCTATCCGTAAATAAAGATGCGTCTAAATAAGTAGGAAATTCTTTATCTATCCATACATGAGGGTCTCGGATCAGTTAGTAGTGAACAGTGCTTCGGACGTATTGTGTTGTAAACTTTTTTTTTTTTCAGATAAGGTGTATAAAGGAGCAATTGGTGATGAATCATTTTTTCACAATTGTGCTTTCATCTGTCTCCATCCATGTTGATCACAATATTCTGTATCCATCTCTATCCATCGATGATGGTCTAGGGTCATTTTGTAGTAAACGTACTCCAGTTTTGCAATGAAAAAAGTTTTTTTCCCCTCGCTCCACCATGGGAAGGGGGCTCCGCGGTTTCGACGAGGACGACGAGCAGGCTGCGGACCGCCGTCGGTTCATGGAGAAAGACCTGGCGATGTGGGAGGCCGAGGCGGCCAAGCCGGAGACGAGGTGAGAGCGTCATATGATGTCATGATGAAGGTCGAGATACTACTCCTGTGCGTCGTGACGAACGTCACACGAGCGCCATGACGTAATAACAAGCGTCACGAAGCCTAATAATTGCCGTAACAGGCGTCATGCCGTCGTAACAAACGTCGTAGCAGGCGCGATCACAGGCGTCATGGCGTCATAACTACAAATGCCATCATTGCTTGCGTCAGGACATCATTACAATCGTCGTCGCTGGCGTCATGACTTCACAAACGAATACCATGGCATGTATCAGGACGTCGCGCCAAACCTCATAACGTGCGTCATGACTTCATGCCAGGCAGGCCGATCATAACTCCTGTGTGTGTATGCAGTACCTATGACCTCGCCGCACAACGGATACCCAGTGATTTTCTCGGAAAATGGTGAGTAGAAGATGGTGAAGTTGGTCCTCTCCCCGAGTGCTGAGCAGAGACCGGAACGGGTTTTTACCGTCGAGCCTGCAAACCGGAACCTTTTTTCGTTCCGTGAAGGCAACAAACAACACACTCTCCCCCGAGTACCGAGCAGAGACCGTAGCTTTCTTTTTTCCCCGTCAAGACTGCACACCCGAACATTTTTCGTTCCGTGAAGGCAACAAACAACACGCTCTCCCCGGGTTCTGACCGGAAGACGGGGACAATTTCTTGGTGTGAAGATTAACCCACCAACAACCGAAACGCTGACTCTAACTGGGTGGGCTTGACTGCACAGGGTGCGGCGGCCGACGGGCGACAGGGTGGACGCCGAGCTTCCCGAAGAAGCGTTCGAGAGCAACAGGGACGCTGACGACTTCTTCGACAGGTCGGTGACGAACATGGATGCCCCTTGGAAACATGCTGGCGGTCGAGTAGATGATGGCGCGCTGTGCGGGGTCCATGACTCTCACTCCGCACAAAGGGGATGGTCGTTGTGTTGAATTGTTCAGTACCCTCGAGCCGGTTACACCGTGCTTATGACTGTCTCTGGAAGTGAATAACCAGAAAATACATAGGGTCATTCGCAGCTGCCATCCGTACGCAAGGAAGTGAACATGAGATGCCGAGCACGCGTAGCAGGACGCAGCGCACCCTCCATGACATTCGCCGAATACCTCACGGCGATGTGAGAGCCTGGCCCGGTGAGAACCCCGGCGTGCTCCGTCCCGGCCTTGTAGGGATGCGAAATCAATGGTCTAACGACTACGGCATGCACGGCTATGGTGCAGGATGAAAGTCCGATGTCGCTTGCGGTGATAGAAGTGGACTCGTCGCTGCCGAACGTGAAACCGTTGGTTGGCCGGGATGCCCCCAGTCAACATATGGAGTGTCTCTTATTCTCTTCTTGTTTGGGACAGCAAACGCAGGATGATGTCCAGCTTCTGATCATCCTTGTGAATCGTAGCCGAGCCGGAGGAAAACCGACGTACATACCGCTCCGTTCCGGCGTCGTAGGGATGCGAGATCAATGGCCTAACGACTACGGCATGCGTTTTCATTAGTACACCTCCATCGGTGTCATTTTTGGTGCCTGCGTCACCCCGCAATCAGTTCAGAACCTCGACTCGTTTCTCTTTCCTTCTGTACGGTGTTTTCCCAACAGGTAGTTCTAGATTGTTGCGTAGAATTCTTAGCACATCACCTTGTTCCCATGGCCAGGGGGGTGAAGTTTGCTGCCTGGTCTGGAGGCCGATATGTTAGCCCCCCGTTTCGCTCCTCCCCCCTTCCCCCCTTACGCACGCCTTTGCTCTCTTGTGTCGGATTGCTGTTCAGCCTGGACGGTATCCTGGGGGGGGGATACGCAGAATGAGACCCGCTCCCTACACTTTCGTCTTTCTCAACCTCACTCGTTTGCTATGGGCTTTTGTATTTCGCCTGTGTCGCGTTGTTGTCCAGCCTGGACAGCATCCGTGTGTCCATCTCCTCCTCAATCCCTCGTTATGCGCTTGTATGTATCGCTTGTTGCGACGTTGTTGAGCCGTTGACAGAATCCTGGAAGATGGAACAGGATAGGTTGCTTCGTGCAACCCCCTCTGACTGCCTCGATGTACACCCCTGGTGCTGCGTTGTTGTTCGTTTCCTTCTTACTCCCTCGTGGTGCACTTTCGTATGCTGCGTTGCTGTTCAGCCTGGACAGCATCCTGGGTGAGGACGCGCGCAAGGGCCCCGCCCTCCCGGGTGCGAGAGCGCAGGGCCCCTCGGTGGTGGAACGGGCGCACGCAGTGGCCGAGCACAAGAAGCGGCTCGACACCGACGGCTTCGACTTCAGGCACGCACGCGACTGCTGTACCATGTAGTGGAATGTGAAGCGTTAGACAGGTGTTACGATTTCTGTAGCGCTGACCGGAACGGTCGGTATCCCCCTAAGGCACGCAACTAGTTGTTGTTGTTTTCATCTTCACATTGAAGCATCTTGTTCCGGTCGAACTGATGCGGACGCTTTCCGTGGTAACAGGCCGACTGCCCAACGCACTTCTTAGATTTGTATCTACCTACAAGCATCCTCCGCAGTCTAGTGATGTTTCCTCCTTACCTAGTTGTGTTGTTGTGCCTAACCCGGCTTAGCGACCCCTCGTATGGAGACACTCCCTGCACTGCACCCCGACTAAGTGTAGTAGCCGCTCTTCTCGGAGAAAGCGACCTTCCCTCAGTGGCGACCAGTTTCCATATCGACAATAGGGAGTCGCTGTCGCTAAACCGGGCTGTGTGGAGTCTGTTCCCCCCCCCCTTTTCTTCCCGTCCCTATCTCTCGCCCCCCCTCTCCGCACTTCCTCTCTCTGCCCTTCTCTCTGTCTCTGTCTCTGGCTCTGGCTCTAGCTCTAGCTCTGATTTTGCGTGCGAAACAACAATCAGTTGCTTACTGCTTGTTTTTTTTGTTCGGTACAGCTCGCCGGATTTCCAAGATCCGAACAGCAGCAAGATCAGACCACGAGGCAGCACGGGGTCTGCCGGGCTGCTCGAGCCGGGGGTTTCTAGGGTAAGCAGGGACGCACGCCCGGCGGCGGGACTTTCTTCCATAGGTACGGCTGCCGGCGGGAGCGATGGCGACGACGATGACGACCTCTTTGCGGTGAGGTTGCTGTTTGAATGGTATCCTCCACGGAATGATTGAGACGGTTGATGTCATATTTTCACACAACCTTCACAACATTTTTTTATTTAGCTGTTTTAGTTTGGCCAATCAACTAGTACTATTTAGCTCAGAATATTGATGGCTCAGAATCTTGATGAAACTAGTTGGATTCCAGTCAACTACTGGCTCAAGACATTGCGTGCTCTCATCCACGGAATGAAAGGTTGAGACGGTTTTGACTTCTTCCACTCATAACCCAGGTTTCGGAATGATAGCAAGGCTGCAATTCCGCCGCCACGATTGAACACGCCGTCGATCGTGACGGAGGAGCTCCGCAAGCCCCCCACTTAACCTTTAACGCTTCCGTTGCCCCCCCGCCCCTCCCCCCCCCCCCAACCTCAATGGCAGTCGCTCATGAAGGAGCTCAAGGAGTCGCCTCCGGCTTCGGCCGCGGCGGGCAGACAGGCAGGGGACGATGACCTCGCATCCTCGTCGTTTTCCGACGCCCCGTCGAGAGGGGGGCCGGTGGACGAGAATTTGGAGGACCTGCTGGCGGGGTTGGGCTCGCCACCGCCCCCGGTGGCACCACCGACGGACTCATACTCCTCCACACGCCCGCCGCCGCCGCCGCCCGTTTCGCGAGGGGCGGCAGGGTGGGGGCAGCAGCAGCAGCAGCAGCAGCAGCAACCGCCACCTAAATCGACTCCGGCCGTGTTTGACGACAAGGAGTTCGAGGATTTGTTGGCCGGGCTGGAGAGCAGCTCGCCGCCGCCGCCGGCGGCGGCAAGACGGTCGTCGTCGCCCAGGGGTACGGGGGGCCCCGCAGACAGGATTGGCGACCTCGAGGGCGATCCGCTGTCGGCTTGGGGAGAAGGCGGGGGTGTCGGCGTAGGCGGCGGTGGTGCTGCCGGCTCGTCGCCGGTTGCCGCTGGCCCGAGGCGGGGCGCGGCGCCGCCGCCGCCGCCGCGGGCGGGCGGGGTTGATGGGGACTTCGAGGAGCTTCTGGCTGGGCTGGAGAGGGGGGAAGGGTTGGATGCGGCCGCCGCCGCCGCTTCCGCGTCGTCGCCTTTGCCGGACGTGGAGGAGGTGATGAGGGTTTGTTGTTGTTGTGTCCTGTGTGATTTGGTGGCGCAACAGCCGGCTGTTTTCGCTCCCGGACGGCTTTGAACGGGAGTGCGCCGGTGTGTCCTGGATGCAGTCGTGGCTCCACGGCTCCGAGATCAGGGGGTACCTTGTAAGAGGGGGCTCCGAGGTCAGAGCGTCGAAATTGGTTGTCACGGACTCGAACCACTTGTTGTACAAAGTGAGCTGTATCTTATTTCGGTATTCGGGGGCTCCGATATATCACAGGGTGGAGGGCCTTTGTCACACCACCCTCATGTATCGGGGCCACGAATGTGGCGGAGACGCGCGTGTGTGAAGGGGCGGCTCTTGGCTCGCAGGCTGCTGATTGGATGGGCACGCGTGAAGAGGAGTAGCGGTGGCTGGTGTAGTGACACCTGAGACGAAGGGTTGCATGAGATAACACAGCCTCTTGGACCGATGTTCAGACCTCAATCGATCACTCTGCCGCATAAAAAAGCGGCAGCAGCAGTGCCGAAAATAGCGGCGTCAAATCTGTGTATCGTCGAGAGCTTTCTGAAAACGAAGGTGTCTTATTTTAGCGTCCTCTTGGTGTTATAGCAGTCTAGCTTTGAAATTAGGCCCAGAGGCTGTGTGGCACCTTTACGCATAGCAACCTAGTTGAAGGGCACATAAGCGTGGAGGGTGTGAGCGGTAGAGGTGGATATCTGTTTTATTTGATTTTCTTGATGGCCTCGCCGCAGGAGAGAGTGGAGGTCGAAGATTGGCGACGACGAGAGACGCAGGTGGAAGTGTTACAACTGTAGACGTCTTCGGCTAGATTGAGAGATGTCGCTGCCTTGACCGCGTGTCAGGGCGTCTATTAGCGGAAATGTATGCTGGTTTTTGTGTAGAAGTTTTCCCCTTCGTTGACTGCTGTCATTCGAGGACTTCAAAGAGCGACAATTTGCCGTCTTTGTCAAACTGCGACGACTCCCCAGGTTTGAAACATCCCGCTGACGAATTCCTCTGCTGGCGCTTTGTTTTTTTTGTTTGTTCGTTTTGACAGAGCTTCGACGAAATCGACGATCTCTTCTCGGGCCTTGGGCAAATGGGCGCCAAGACCAACAGCAAGGCTAACGGTCCGTCCAAGAGCCCGCCGAGGCCAATCAACGGAAGAGGTGTGTGGAATGATGCGAGACGCGTAACAGAAGCGGATCCTTACCCTCAACAGCGCCGGTATGTGCCCGGCGCATCGACCGGCGCCATTCGGAGGGACCGGCGCTACCATTCAAAGTACAGAGTGACTTGGTGATTTCGTCTTTCCCCAGCAATTTCACCGGCAACATACAGGGCCACTGGCTCTAATCAACCGGGTATTTTGACACGCCGCCCTCTGTATTTTGAAGAACACGGTCCCATACCCGCGGACTATAGTCAATTTGGAACGATAATTGTGGGCATTGTCCGAACTCCTTTTAGAGATGGAAACTCCTGACATTTTTGAGATATTTTTGAGCCGTGGGGACGGATGGAACAGGACAAAGCCAATGGAGCTCGATAAGCGAGGTGCACGTTTGGAGCTAAACGTTTCACCGTTCGGGGAAAGTGTGCAGTGCTGTTTCGGTGATCGTTCGGCTAATTATTGGACGTGGCCAATAGAGGCAAGTAGAGTGTTGCCTCCTTACCCGAACGTGTCTGATGAGGTGACCACCCTACCGTAGCACCATCCTTGTAGCCGCTGCCGCCGTTGTACAGACCGTGTCACCACGTAAGTAAGCCCTCGTGCGACTGCACTTTACGGTTGCGTTATTTTGTCAGAAGCGAAACCGCAAGGTTCCACATCCCCTGGACCGACATTCAAAGGTCGATTCCTCCACGACGAAGAGGATGCAATCACGAAACGACACGTTTTCTGAGAGCGCTCGACGCGACGGCTTCAACACCGCCGTTTTCGGCGTTTTGCCACTCTTTCTGTTGTGGAGAAATCGAACCTTGAAAATCGGTCCCATGGGGTGAGGTACCTACCGTATCGCAATACACACTACCATCGGTATCGCATGGCACAGGAGTCGACAAGGTCTCCTCCTCTTCCTCACGCTTGTCGCTGTGGTTCGTGTCTGTGCGTCTTCGCGAAGGTGTGCGTGCCCATTGCACATACAGCTGGCACCCGTTGGCACTAAACTTGGCAGTTTCAGGAGTTAAGGAATTGATATGGCATGAGCGAGATGCGTGAGGTCGGCTAAGAACCCAGTAGAAACCTATATAGCAGTCAGTCGTAGCATGACCCTTGGAATACAGTAAAGAACCTCAGCCTCAGCGAAAACTAGATACTCTTCAAGTGCGGGCACTTACTTGTACGTAGGTACTGGCGCGGGTCACGCAGATTGGCGACTTACATATTCAGGGCATGAGGAGTAGGGAGCCAGAGCGATGGAATATTGGTGGCTTTCTGCCTCTACTACACTCATTGTTCGTGAGTGAGGTTCTTGCCCCCAAAAAGGCATTTCTGAATCCTTGCCCCGAATACCTGTGATCTGTCTCCTAAGACCCAGCTCTCCATGAGCAAACAAGCAAAAAGAGCATGATCTCAGTTACATGAGGCGCAAGAGCCTGCGAGCCAAGGAGGAGAGGTTGTAAGAAATTGAAAGCCTACGGGCGTGACCATAAGAACAGGTGCTCGGTACATAATCCGCTCCCAAGCCAAAATGATGTAACTCCAACACCGATTCTGTCAGGGGGGGAAGCGATGGCAAGAGGGGTGCAGGCGGGCGAGGCCATCATCAATGAGCTGCTGAAGTCTGGAATCTCCACTGGTGGCGTTGATGGTGACAGAGTTTCTTCGACGGCGCCCAGGGTGAGTTATTGTTGTAGCTGTTGTTGATGGTGGTGTTGCTGTTGGGCTGTAAGCACATGCAGCAGTTGTTGTTGGTGTTGTGTTCTTCCGTGCCCTATAAATGTTTTTGCACCAGCAGGTTGCAATGGGAGCATATGTATGCATTGCAGCAGTTTGTGTTGATGTTCTGTTCTGTTGCGCTAATTGAAGCGTTTGCAGCGGAAAGTTTGCAGCCGTTGTTGTTGTTGTTGTTGTTGTGTTTTCCCTACTGCCGTACTACAGTAGAACGGGCAGCAGCAGCACTGGTAGGTGTTGCTGCTGGTATTACTGTGGTGGGTGTCGTATTAGTTGTGGTGTACTCCCAACAACCGTTGGCGCAAGTTGTCTTGAGCACCTTATCCCCTTTTGGCCAATCACCTCGCCGACCGCAGTCACCCCACGCTACCTGTCCCTCGCCTCCCTACCCAGAACCTCCGTCAAACCAGTCCCCAGAACGGACCTAGGAACGGTCCTAGGATCGTCTCGCCGCAGGAGAGGGAGCAGTTCCGGCGAAAGCAGCAGCAGCAGCAGCAGCAGCGACAGGCTCCGCCGCCCCAGCGGACCGCTCCGCAGACCGTTCCGCGAACTTCTCCACCTCCTCCTCTTCGAGCCGTCCCTGCGCGTCCGGCTGCTGTGAATCCCGCGAACAGCGCTGGTGGCGCTGCAGCGGGGGCGGATTCAGGGAGCGATACCGCAAAGCCGTTCTTCTCGGACTTTGACCTGCTCCCCCCGGTGGCGGGGGAAAGAAGCAGGGCGGAAGAAGGACAAGATCTGGGTGAGCTTTGTCGTGTTTCGCCTTTTTTTATTGTTCTGTGTATGTGCAGATTCGTTGACGTTCGTTGAGGTTAGCCGGGCTGTGTGAGATTTGGCTTGCTTGCGCTTGCCTTGTTTTAGACCCGTGTAAACAGTTTAGTACAATGTTCTGTTCAGTTGGTTGAGGTTCGCTGGGCTCTTCGAGTCAACAAATACGTCGGCTGCGTGAGCTGTTCGAGCTTGGGCCGGGTCTTTCGGTAAGATACGTACCTCTTACTAGTAGAATCAGGACGTACGTACGTGTACCATCACAGGAAGGCTACTCGTTCGGGATAATTGCTATTTATTCAACAACACTTGGACTCTTTTCTCTTTTAGAAGTGATGCATACACTCACAGAAAGGCTGCCTGCCCGTTCGGTGTGATAAAGCCTTGACGTCTTTTTTCTCTTGGCACTGCGGTACCCTCGGCTATCACTGTGGTGTGTTTGTTGTTGCTACCATCGAGCGCGCCAGCGGACTGGCCAATGAAGCGCGCCATTCTCAGCGCGGTCGAAAACTCACATTTCTTCTTGAAAAGGGCATGATCTGGGATCCCGTGAGGGTGTGTGATGGGGGAGGCTCGGCTACTCTCCGGATTTTAGAAAGAAACGGCCGACGGCAACAGAGAGCTGCACGTGGGTTGTATATGTGCGCTTTGTTCATTTCGCATTGACCGCGCGAACCGGCTGACCAGCCAAAAGTGTGCGTGTGTTTGTCCTGAGCGTCGACGTTTCGTGGCCATTTCTTTTTGTCCCTGCTCCGTGTCACGAAGCGTGTTTATGTTCATTTCCGAATGCTTGGCGTCCTCTTTGTTTTTCGTTGCTGCTCTTTCCTTCCGATCCCGCTTCGTGCGAGAACAGGAGGCAGCGGTGGCAGGCGGCAAGAGCGACAACCCGGGCCGGCCAAGCAAAACGCGGGTAGCCTCGGAAACCAGGAACGGTCCGAGAACCGTTCGGCGGAAGGCCGGCCGCCGGCCAAAGAACGTCTCCCTGCGGTGGCGCAGGCACCGGCACCGGCGCCGGCAGCAGCCGCAGATTTTGCGCCGAAGGACGACTTCGGAGACCTGGACGCGATTTTGGGGGAGCCGTTGGCAGGGGATGGAGCCGCGCCATTCGGCGGCGCCGTTGGTAGTCCTGCTGCTCCAGCTGCCCCTGGCAGTAGCAGTAGTGGGGTAGAGGAGGATGGGGACGGGGGCGATGGGGCCTCGGGTGGCGTTGGAGGTGGCGACGCCGGCAGCGGCGGAGACGCAGCTAAGGCGGAGGTGGAATCCATGAAGGTTCCGGAGCTGAAGGCCAGGTGCAAGGCCCTGGGTCTGAAGGTCGGCGGGAGGAAGGCCGAGCTGCAGGCGCGGATCCTCGAGGCACTTTAATTTTTTTTTGTTTCGCTTTGATGCATGTGGATTACTTCGGTCGTCGATGGCGTAGGTAGAGGGAGGTACAATAGTACGCAGAGTTTGGGGGATCCGGGTCATGTGTTTGTTTGCGGGGGGTGGTATGTTGTTTTCGTCGGTCGAGCCTACCGTCAGTCCATCACCGGAGATTGTTGAGGATCAGTATGGAATTATAGAACAGGAAAGGTGGCGCGAAACTCCTGATTGAAAGAAATAAAAATGCGGTTAAATGTGTTTCTCAGGATGACCGAAGACGGCACGCAGTTTTCTGATTGGTCACAGAAACCTTGCGGCGAATAATTGTTTTCTGCGAACACCGTAGGCTGCACGCAGGTTTCTGATGGGAATGGTGCCAAGTCTGCGGGGTTTAGATACTACAAGGGCTCTTGGAGGCATGATCTCTTGGCTCTATATCGGGTTTATTTCGTCCCTGGCAACTAAGAACTTGATATTTTGGTGGTATGCAAGCCCCATTGTTTCCCCGCCTGGCTTGAATGCATGACGCGTGCAGTACTGCTGTAGTGCGGCACCATTGATTATTTTGAAGTGTAACGCACCATTTTGACGCTTGGTTTCCTCCAACTCCATTTCACCCCAGACTGTTGGTCCCCTTTTTCTTGTACTTGTTACTTGTTTCCTGCTGCCAACAATTGTCCGACGGGCCTAAGCCTCCCTCGCCGAACATTCAATGAATGGCGGGGGTGCGTAGATGCGCCACACAACGTGTCGCGTTCCATCTATAGGCAAGTGCGTTTTCGCTCAATATTTTTGGATATGTGTGTGCGAGTAATTTTGTCATGGATGGAAGAGAAAGCACCTCGTGACTGTCTCCTTTCAACAGTGTTTTTTTGTTTATTGTTTTTTACACAATAATACAAGCCGATGATGTCTGTGGCTCCTCTTGGTCGGAAATCAATTGCGTTGGTCACACGACGAGAGTGTTGGTAGACACGAGCAGACGAGCTTCGAGATTCAAGTCAAAACTGGAGACAGACAAGAGCCACAGGATGTTCAAAAGCGCAAAACGAAGTTCATCGGGTGCTGATGTGTGTAGTCTATATTGTGTAGCGTTTCTGTCGATATGCCTGGATCACCGCCTGCTGTTGTTCTTTTTCTTGGTCCGATTCGATTCCATCCGTGTATTTTTTTTAGTCACTATTGTTTTTTGGGCGTCCCATACAGCTTCCTGCGTGTTCAAAAGCGCAAAACGAAGTTCATCGGGTGCTGATGTGTGTAGTCTATATTGTGTAGCGTTTCTGTCGATATGCCTGGATCACCGCCTGCTGTTGTTCTTTTTCTTGGTCCGATTCGATTCCATCCGTGTATTTTTTTTAGTCACTATTGTTTTTTGGGCGTCCCATACAGCTTCCTGCGTGTACATGTTTGTGGCGCTCCAGCGGTGCTTGTCTGTCTCCAGTTTTGACTTGAACTGGGAAAACAAACATTGGAGAAAGCGGAGCTGCACACGGTAGTGAGTGCTGCACATCACGGTCAGCGAGCGAAAAGGACAGCAGAATCTCTCTGGCGGTCAACGCGCGCAAATACAAGCAAGCACCGCTGAATGAGACAGGAGGGCTAATACACCTCCATGTCCTTCCTCCGGTGTGCCCCCCCGGCTGACGCTTCCAAAGCATTCCGCAAGGTGGTGGAAGTAATCAGCTGTCTGCTAGTCTCTGTAGACAGCGCCCGCACGTATGCATACGAACTTGGCTGTGAAGAACTAACTCCATGCTCAGCATTTATTTTTTCTTCGCGGAGTGTAACAGAGGAACTTGAGCACCGTTTGTGAGCCCGGTCAACCTCTAGATAGACTAAAACCTCAACAGCAGTAGCGGTCATTGGTAGCCCGCGAGAGGAACAGGACCCCAGTCTGGCTAAATACTATGTAGCGCCCGCGTGAAGACTCTGGGCTGAAGGTGTATTACTTCTTGACGTGTACATAACAAACGTAAACGCGTTTGGCTCTCTCGAGAGGCACCTTTCTTGGTTGAGGTTGAAACTTGTGCCTATTCGATGAAGGTTACCTATAATACCACATGCAGAGTCAACGCTGACTGTACTGTGCAAGTAGTCTTACGGGTACAAGTAGTCTTTCCAGCTGGGTCAGAGGGTGTACGCCCTTCACAGTGATCTCCGGGGGACGGAGCCCTCGCCGTCAGGCGCTGCCGGAAAAAGTGCTACGAAAGAAAGTGATCCAGCTGGGAGTTGAACCGGCGTCCGTATCATTTGTTCGATAACGGTAGACCAGGTAACTGCTGTGCAAGTTGTACAGTAGTCTACAATGGGTAGCCTTTTTATTGACTTGTACCGACCGTGTGGTTGAGGGGGGATCTTGGATATATTGGCGAAGCTGTCAATTTTCAGCAGCAGCAGCAATGTGGAGTCTTTTGCATGAACGAGCGCACCATACGGCCCACTGAAGAAGGACTGGAAATTCCGGAAATTAATAATGAGCGTATTGCCGCATCCCCCCAGGTCTTACATAAGGAAGGAGGCCTCCTTGGTGTGATCTCTGAGGTGCCCTTGGTGTGTACGTGTACACTACATATGACACCCTCTTTTTCGGCCCCGGGATCCCGGGAGGTTATAGTTCGGCAGATTCTTTGGGTCGAGACAGAGAGCCAGGTGTCGATTGTTATCAAGTCCATCACACCAAACGCTCTTTGAGCTGGCACCGAGGTACACAAGGAGACAATAATGGCGCGAGAGGTCGATAAATGATTGCCCTCAAACACCTCGTGTGTCCTACCTGAGGAACCGAGGCACTGATCTGATGAGCCTGACCCAAGGCCAACAAAATAGGGGTGTTTGAATTTTTTAATTAATTGTTAATGGGTTCGGGGAGTACATAATTAATTGTTTTTGGGTTTGGGGAGTACATATAAGGCCAACTTCGGTCAACCAAGAAATGAGAGAAGGCGTTTCGAACACAACTCTGTTCTGTCGCTCTCCCGCTCACTGCTGTGCCCTCTGAGAGGCGAGAGGGCAACTTGTCAGAGAAGCTCGCCCGGAGACCATAACTACCTCCAAAGGGAACGTGTGCTCCTACATCTATCTCTTGGTTGGTGTGGCATTCGTAGCTCCACAAGCGCACAAGCAACCGCCACCCTCCCACCAAACACCACGCTTGGTGGGTAGACTTGTAGATAACAACTGGCATCTCCGGCAGATCGAGGGCGCGCAGTCGGTGTCCTCCCACTAACGCATGTTCGTCTTCCCTCTTCTTGGTGAGTCGAAGTCCCCCGCAAAACGTCTACATGTGTGTCGGATTGAAGTGCACCACAGTAATCCCTCCTACGGTACTGTATGTAGCTGTATAGTCTATGTGGCACTCAGTCCAGAAAAAATCGCGTCCGCTCATTGGGAGAGACTGTACCGTCCCGAGCGCCGAAGGCTGAATTGGCGTTCATTCATGGAAAGCGGCCCACCAAATCCTCTTGGGGCACTTTCTACACTGAAACCAAGTCAGTAAGTTTTCCCAGTTCTAGGCAATGCACAGCAGTTTGAAGGGGACCCGTGGGTTGGGAGATTGTGTTTACAGCAAGCCAGGGCCCAGGAGAGGCACACAGGCATCACACAGCTTACCAAACCACCTCACACCTCACACAAGCATGCTACTGTAGACCAAGGTTTCCCCACGCACGTTTCACCCAGCGGAGCATAGTACATAGTGACGACCGCGGTGCGGCGCGGTGCGGAAAACAGGCAATTTGAGTGCTGTGTCCATTTGGGCTCCCAGTACTATCGTACGGAGGAAGGAGAGTTAACCCTTATATGTGACTGGGTTTTCCCTGGATCTTCCGAGGTTTTTTTTTTCTCAACTGGGCGAAGAGACCGCTGACATCATCACGGCTGTGGAACACACATACTTTCAACCACCGTCTCCGTTCTGTACACACCTTCTGGTACCTCCCACATGCACACGAACGAGTACACATCAGCATGGTCGCATCCACACGCCACCCCCTTGCTCACACAAAACTTTGGCACATAGCAGCAGACAAACACACATCAGGGCTCTCATCGGTGACTGCTGTAGGTGCTGGGCGTGAACTGGGGGGCTCGATCGAGAGAAGCAGACACATTTTGTCTCCACCCTGCACTGCTGCTGCTGCGCCAACAACAAAAGCACAACAAACCGCGCGGGTGAATCGAGGCCCAACTCTGTAACCGTTTCTTCTCTCCTCTCGCTTCCTCCACCGCTAGTTACCTGCAGCAAGCAGTAGAGGCGACACCCTCTCGCACACAAGTGTCGAGAGGTGTATACCAGTAAATGCATCGTCCAGGGTGGTGTCTCGGAACGAGTGTGTTGTTGGTGGTGTGTGTGACGCCTCTCGCCAAGGTCGCTGCCGAGCGGGATGATAAAACAACAAGCGGTGAGCCCAGACCCAACCAATAAACGTGTCTCTCCTCGCTTCCCCCGCCGATAGCTAAGAGCAGTATAGGGCACACACTGCTCCCGTCTCGCTCCCACTGTGGTGTGTGTGTCCCTCGCCCCTTGTCTATGCCCGGCTCTGTGTGATGTCTTGCGTGGGCCTTTGTCTGGTTCCAACATTAAACATTACGCCTCCTCTATAGTTGCGACGGGTTAGACACTTCCCTACTTCAAGTTCGGCCCAGATGCTGTGGTATCTCGTGCTATTTCGAGGCACTGGCCAAGGATTGGCAGCAGTTGGGATTGCTCGGGCAAACTGATACTTGTTTGGCTCAATCTTCGGCTTACGATTTGGTGTCTACACTAGATGGTGAAATATGTCCAGCCTGCTGGGTTTTTATCGACGCCATCACAGGCAGACCGTCAGACGGGCATGCATGGTCCATTTTCTCACGCCCCAAACTTTTGTGTGAATTTTCCTTTTTTCTGCGAAACAAAGCACCTCCCTGCAAAAAACGATGAAAAAGTCGGTCCGGTCTCCGCTGAGTACCTTCAAATATCAGTACGGGTCCAAGTGACGCGGACGCCTTCCGAGGTCACAGACCACTAATACCATTAAAACACGTAAGAGGGTACACACCTTCTTACAATCCAAAGAAAAAACGCGTGGTTTACTTATTTCGGCGATGCCGGCAAGGAAGAACAGAAAGTCTTTGGCCTGCATATTAGCCGTTGGAATTGCCGATCGGTATATCGTGTTACATCCACGTACTTCAGGATGAGTGAAACATTGCTCGTGTTTTGGCATGGAAGCACGCAGGGCCGATTTGGTTTCGGGAAATGGCCAACAGTGGGTACTCCCACCCCTTCCTCGCGAACAAAAGCGGGTACAACACTCAAAATTAACTTCGCCGAGACCACTCGTGAGAAGGCCGAACCACTCATAATCTCATTCCGGTACCTGACGACATGGTCGTAGGGAGCTCATCTAGAGCCCCGAGCACTGTTGTGCTGTGATCCCAGCCGTTGGTACATGGTTGTCGTGTGTCCAAGTGCGCTCCAAGCCACATATTGGCATCTTGACACATAGCCGCATAATTCCTTGTCCAGACCCACAAAGGGTTAGCACATCATCATGATCATCCCGCTACACACACACCGATGGACGAAACGCTCGATTTTCTCGCTCGCTTGATGGTCACCCCTCCTGCTAGAAGGTTCGGGGGGGGGGTGTCATTGCTGTTCGTTCGGTCAGGGGAGGCAGAGGGTGGATTAATAAGCTACCGTCGGCTTGGCAAGAAACTCGTGCAGCAGAACAGTATGCCATTTTCTTACCACACGCACAGCCACGAGCGGATGGGTTTGCTGTTGTTTTTTCAGCCAGTGTTGAGAAACCCACGAAAGACCAAGACAGTGATGAGGTGTAGCAAGTGGAAAAGCTCCAACGGCCCCGTTCCAAGCAAGTGCGCAAACGTCGACCGCACCATCATATGCATATTGACAGGCAGCATGTTTGAGTGTTCGAATGGGAATTGCACATGCTTTACTGCAGTTTTCGGTTAGCTTCGGAGATGGTCTGAGAAGCGAATTGTTGTCCAGTCGTCCGGTTGCTTAGAAAAGGGACAGCCGTATAAAAATATGGCATGAGAAGTAGTCTACCAGTAAACTTCACCGATTTTTTTTCATCTCTGGAACCGCAGGCGGAATAGTCATCAGCAGCAAAGACAGAAGTCAAAGCAGCGAGACGGCCAAACCGGCAGCAGCAGCCTTGGAATCAGACAACAACCCGCCGATCCTGAGGGACAGGTATCCCCATGGCTGACTGGTTTGCGATACTAAACGTTTGGTGTGCTTGGGCTCTGCTGATACTTTACCCACCTAATGTATCGCGTAGCGCTTTTGTCGTGCAGATCGGTGGAGTGTGTCATGGCGACGGGCAGGATGACGTATCGCATACTAGAACGGGGTGGAGTTTATGGTTATTTTTTTTCTTAAAGCTGAAAAATATGTATAGCTGTTGTAAGCTGGTGCGTGACCGCGCGGTTTTTTTCGCCAAAAAATATACAACATACAAGAGCGCGTGCCAGTGAAGACACAGGTTCACGCATGGTGCACGAGGAGCACGGGGAAGGGACGTGTCGGACGCTGGGGACGCACTGATTTGCGCAAGTGTGCAGGGGTGTAGAGCTGTACGCACATTGTCACCCCCCCTGGTGGTGGTGTGTAGAGCAGGCTTTGTGCGCTCTCACCTAAAAATTCAAAAACCTACCTGCTGCTGTTGGTATTGGTTTAATACCCGCTGAAACGGAACGCATTCCATACCAGGACATTCAGTACAACAGCGGCCTTCGACAAGCGTGTTTATACACCAAATCATGAGCGTCTCTCATCTATCTCCTTGTTCTCAGCGGGTGCAGAGACCAGCCTCCATCTCTATGTGCGTGTCTATCGCATGCATGCATGCTCTGTTGATGATCTGTCTCCCTTTGCGTGAAGCTAGAATCCGCCACGAATCAACACACGCAATGTGTACATGTACCCACACCCCCTGCCCCTGCTCTCCTCGCCTTCACAGTCTGCAAACAGCGGTACAATAGTACAGGACGTACTGTCTCGCCTCTCCCCCCTCCCCCCTCACCCGTCAGCCTCTCTCCGTCTAACCTAAGTCTACATATAACAGGATATATTTATCACACGCCGAGTCAAATATGCCACCTCTGTCTGTTTCGGGGGGATGTAATCTTCCCTACAACAAGTTCGGCAGGCAAAACGTGCTACCGTACATCGACGCGCCGACCACGGAGTAAGCATGAAGCCTTCAGCACGGGAAATTACTAGCTGTTGGTCACAAGGATTCGCTTGTAATTTGGTGCGTAGTCGGCGAAGCGGGATCCAGTCTACTGGTACTGCTGATCGGCACACGCGCCCCACACCCACAGACAGGCTCCCGCGTGTTTTACACCCCACAAAACAGATTTTCGATTTTTAGTGCATACGCCTCCGACGGTGTCCAATCAGCAGACGGCTACATAACAAAAAGGCACCTACGGTGTGTGTTTGTGTGACAGCAGAGTTGCTATTAGCTCAGTCATGTTTGTCCGACAGGATTTCGAAGAATGTTGAGAAGAGCTTGCGACGCCTCCAATGCGCTACACTCTGGTTGACCCTTGTGCCACCTAGACGAATGGTTCATGTTGTTGATCACCTCGTTCGGGAGAATGCTAGCTGGCGACAACAGTGGCACAAAGGTTTCAGGTGATGTAGAGACCGGGCAACAAACGAGAGGGTGGCAAGGACGGCGTTTTGGCCCTTGGAAAAAAGAGCAGCCTGTGCTCTGTGCAGCAGCTGGTTCTGTCGTGTCACCTACATGACCTCTTTGTGAAACCACCGCTACGTTCAGAACCATGCCGCCTTGTGCTTGTTGCAACCCGTGTCGTGTTGCACACAGGCTCGATGTCATCTGCTGGATTGGCAACCGAGATTGGTGAATTTGCTTGGACAGCCAAGGTGAGCCTCGCGTGCAGCTGCAACCCGTGGACTGCCGAGCCCGGTTGGAGGCAACACCCAGCCGGAGAAGAGGTTATTATTCTTGAGGCGTTTCGAGACTAGATTCGTACCATGAGGTAAAAATTCTCTTTCCACTCACTGCCAGCTTGTAGTTCATCGGCAACTCGTTGTTTCATATACTTGGTAGCACGTGACCGTGTTGTGTTGGATGACGTTAACAGGCCACTCCTGGGACCGATGGCATCCTGGTGAAGGAAGAGGAGGAGGAGCAGGCGGAGGAGGAGCAGGCGGAGGAGGAGGAGCAGGAGCAAGAGGAGGGGCAAGAAGAGGGGGTGAGGTAATAGGTTAACGTCAGAGGCACATTATTTTACTTTGACCCATTTGATTCCCGTCGCATCAAACTGGTGGCGGTGGGGAGAGCGTGAATTTTGCTCAACTATCGACCCTCGATGAAGGTTGCAGCATCGTCAGGCCTCGAAGGTGGCCACTCCAATTGACACAATCATGGCCGACGTTGGGCACAGGGTGAATCCATCCCGCTCAAGCCTATTCAAGTCATGGCAAATTATCCCATACTTGAATACGCTGTGTAATAGTCTGTCTGGGTATCACCGCAGCACCGAAACCTATATCTGCTCTGCCGTTTCATCGCCAACAAGCGGTGACAGTAGTTCCGTCTTGTCGTAGTCATAGTCAGACACTGATGATGACTGGATTGTTCTCGGTTTTCATGTAGGGTTACCCTCTGTGTAGCCCCAGAATTGCCTTTTGGAGATGGTGCTTGCGGCATCAACCCGACCAATTCGTGTGGTTGTCGGATGACTCGACCCAGGCAAGGCCAGGCAAGCGCAAGCTCGGGAGTATGGCCAAGGTCCTCTGCCGGCACAGCGCCTGGACGGCCAGCAACCGGCAACCCAATCACGCTGAAAGGTGAACGAGAGACAAAGGTGTTCGAGGGCAGCTACCGCTCGATGTGCGGGAACCAATTGCGTGTAGATGTGTTCCTTGAGGATTTCAGTTTTTCTTTTGGCTTTATTTGGAGACCCACAACAATCCGTTTCCCGGGATATTCTACCCAAGTTCTACAGCCCCGCTCGTTGGCAAGGTCTCCGCCTGGAGTTGATTCGAACGGTATGTTTAACAGCATACATTGCCACCTCGCAGATTGCCACCTCGCAGATTGCCACCTCGCAGAATGCAAAGGGACCGTCAAGACTACGGTTCCTACCTTCAGATTTGATTCTGGAATCCGCGAATCTCTCTCAGGCGGCCACAAGCTGCCGACATCCCGGGACACGATGCGAGATACGCTCCATGGTATCTAACTCGCATCGATGTACTGGTTTGTAAATAACGGAACGCGCATGTTCACTCGGGGGCAACGGGAGCCTGCCTCTGCTGTAGAGACCCAATATGCCTCTGTATGGATTGCCCAGTGGTTGGTTTTGGGGTTGCGTCATGGCGCTTCTAACCCTAAGCAATATTTTTCTATGTCTCACACTCGCCGTCATCATGCTCTGACGCTTGTTTTTCGTTGAGGAGCTGAAGAGATTTTCGTCCCGCGATACTCCTACTTGTTTTAGTTGATCAGCCGGTACACTGTACACGATGGACACGACTTGTGAGAAACAGGTACACCGGCGCCTCGAGTATCTTCTTTAGTCTCAAGTATCTTTCTACATTATTACAAGGTCTCCCTTCGGGACGTGGGCGTCAAGCCTCCCGCGGGTGACGCAAGACCACATGCGCCTTGCGAAGAAGGGTCGTGTGCCTTATTTTTGATGGGCAGCTTCGTACTAAACATCAAAACATTGCGCACGTATGCGTAGTTTTTGCTAAATTTGAGGCAGTTCGAGTGGACAACAACATGCTAGCGAAAATCAGATTTCTTGTGATGATGAGGCCGCCTTCCAATGAGAAGGTGAATCCAAAACAACGTCACAAACAAAACATGTTCAATACTGCGGGTGGGTTCATACGCTAGGACTCGTCTACGGCAGCAGCGTTTCACTGTGCCCGCTGCGAAGTGTACCGGGCAAACGTACGTACCGTTGGACATGTCGATGATACGAAGAGTCACAACGATGTGGAATCAGCAAGTGAATGAATGAATGCGCAGATGAACTACAACCATGATACACATATTCAAACTGCCGTTTTGGATGGGTTTCAGAATTGGTTTGCCAGGCTTTGTCTGGGCGGAATGCGCCCCCAGGGTATTGGGTCATTTTCCCCGACTTTGACCGTCAATCTCACGCGTCAGGGAGGCCTACCGAGCTCTGGGCACGAGCGTTAATGCACTGACATGCCTCCTGGATGCCCCTGAAAACGAATCGCGAGAAAAAACTTGTTGTCGCGAGAGAAAGAAATGGCGAGGCATGAAAAGAAAGTAATCGCGACCCAGTCGGGTGCTTCTACTTTCGGCGTGAAATGCAACTAGCCTGTTGGTCGACGCTTACTCCCCCTCTGCCATGTCACGAGAGCTCGAGGTATGCATCTTGCCCCGGGTGTTTTTGGCTGCAATGGTGCCCTGAGTTTCTCAAGGTTTCCCTGCCCCGACGAAAAATGACGGTAGATCGACCCTTCCATCTACCATTTTGTCTGCTTTCTGCCCCAACTCAAAGACGCCGTTACACCAATCTTCCAACTCCAAACAAAATTGCAACGAAAATCAAGTACGCCCTGGTGTAACGCAGCGTGAATTACACGTGGACTGACACAGATCATGCACACAGCACCCCGGAATAGTGCTGGGGGAACGTATGGTGGCCGAGAGAAGGAGTGCAGATGCCACATGCCAAATGCATCATCGTACTGGATTTGGGTAAAATCGTACACCACAACATTTTCACACTCACCCATCCCACGTGATGCATTATGCCATGTCTGACTGTTGTTTCACACGAGCTGCAACAACCTAGAGATCACCATCAACGAGAATTTGGTGGAATCGCCTGGCTCCATAAGGCGAATGTTCCAGCAGAATGGTCGCTGAAGTGCCAACTGCGAAATTGAAACATTTGACTAATCTTCACTGCCAGGACGTAGCAGTAAAGGATACGTCTACCCCGGCAGTTTTGGTCATTCATGCGCACCTTGTTTGTATAATGATCTGTTTGCTATATGTGCCTACCCGCCCCCTCTCTCTCGTGAACCACACATCCACCCACTACCCTTTCTGGAATGCTGTGTGCGTGTTCTGCGCAAGTCGGCGGTTAACCATGTTTGGTGTCATATGGAGTGTGCCTCCGATTTCGGTTTCCATCATTTGTTTGCAACTGGAATATTTGTGGAGTGAAGTCCTTTGGTGGGAGCAGATGGCAATTTCTGGGGAGAAACTGGAGGGTGGGGGGTTTCCTGTCGGGGCAACGAATATTTATGGAAATCAAGGTACCATTTCAGGGTATACCACGGACATGGCAGAGGCGAACTGGGCGTCGACCAGTATATATATACCGCCTCACTTCAAGCTGAATTCATTCATGTGTCCGGTTGAGTCGCAGTTGACCATGCAGACCCTGCTGTATCTTTTACCTATTGTGCCTCGTAAGGCAATGTCAACTCTCTCTCTCCTCCTTCAGAAGACAAGGGGTAATGAAGGTAGTCTCAAACGGGGCCGATTCTCAAATGCCGGCTGTTTGCAAAGCGTTGTGTCCATGTCTGTACCACGCCGGGGAAAATTAGGCATCGATGCTTCAGACCGACCCACGGTCCACCGCTGGGCATCTGCATTCTCAACATCGATACATCACCATCATGTCGATCGCAGCCCCACGTCACCGTACCTCTCTAGGATCGATTGATGCTGATCGTTTCAAACGACGTTCGTGGCAGGTGGGAGTTAAACTTGTTCGTAAGTATCACGGCAAGCTGAAGATGAGTGACACTGAATCCGTTATGTACACGGGAATTTTTTGTTGCATCTTCTCGAGTGAAGAAAATTGGGGGCCGACTTTGCCCAATTCCCGACCCGTGGTGGCAGCACTCGATTGGATTGGTAAATAGTACCAGGCTCCCCTTCGGGAGTTTGGTGGCTTGCCTCCCAGGGGCGACGCACGAGGACATGGTCATTATCATCGCGGAGGCATCGTTCCATCTGAAATGCAATGGCGTTCGGTAGTGAGTGCCGTTTTTGCGTACAACTTGCACAGTTTGCCTGGAATTTTCCACCATATGCGGGGTATTTCTTCTGCTCACCTTCACTTTTCGCGTATGCGTGAGTGTTTCGCGTTTTCCTTTTATTGGCTAGTGGTGTCTTTGCTGCAGGTCCTACTGCTGTAATCCGCTGCGTTTGATCGCTCGCGCTTATGTATTCGTGTTGCCCATGGTCCGTGGGACTTGTGTGCTTTGCGCAGAAATCAAAACGAAAGCCTCCCTGTTTTGCACAGCGGTTATTTTGTACGTCTTCCGAAGGCTTTCTTGGCGCGGAACACGTCCGCAGGGCATAGAGCCAGTTTTCAACGTTGGGCGCCAAGCACAAGCGCCACGGGAGAAAATACTCGCTTCAGACAGCAAACGATATCGCGAAGCACGAAAACCGGCGAAAAAACACACATATATACATAGCACTCTGCTGTCGCTAAATACGAGTGTTGGTATTCGGCATCAAACGCACATGTTGGCGGAATTGTTCCACAAAAAAAACAGAAACATAAAGTGCCAAACTTTGCTTCATCAATGGAACACATTTTTCGGGTTCGGACAGTCCCGAGAGGGATGACCTCTCGGAAGTCTTTGCTGTTGTGTCTCCCTGCTCATGAAGAGTGTCATAGAGATGTTGTGTCTTACATGTTTACGTGATGATAATATGCTTGCTGTTTCTCAGTATCCATTTTGGTATTTGACAGCAAAGGGCGCACATCTGTTCGTAAATTCGAACTTGTTCCACGAAATCGGAGACGTACGCTCTACCATATTTGAAATGTTTTACTTTTCGGAATTGAAGCTTATTTGACCGCTGCCAGAGTTTGCGAGAGGACTTCTGTGTCGCGTGGGGTGTTCCCACAATACGCAACATCAAGATCCTTGCCCCCTTTGCAGCCACGAAAAACCGCGCTTTTTATCGGTGGTTGACAACCACGCACGGTGTTTGCGGCACACGAGATACTTCACACGAAAATAAACTTAGCTGTTATCGCCTGCTGAAGAAATAAAAAGAGACCGCCAGAGAGGAAAACACCCCGCTAGAGAGTGTTGCTGCTCAGTTTCCATGTATGTATATCGGCCGGCTGTTTTGGTTCGGATTTGAAGTCCTTGACATAGAGCGAGTCCGAGCGACTATTCACCGGCCATCACGCACACCATCGATGTCTCGCGAGCCCCACACCTAACGTGTAATGTACCGACGGGTCCTCCGAGTGCCATGCAGAGGAAAGTATTAGAAAAAACGCTGTCCCATCAGGCAAAAACGAATGTAACCACCAAAAACGCCGGATTTGTACATGGGCATATCTCTTGACATTCTAACTCCATCGCGGTCTTTTGTTTTCTCTCGCCTCGGAATTTATGGTGTTTGACTATCAGCGCAACAAGAGCATCATCCAAGCGCCAACGAAAGGCATCCGCACCAGGAACAGCGGGCGGTGGGACGGCGGCAACACACGAGATGGTGAGTGCTGTGGACGGTTCGTTCCCCTCGCGTTGCTATTCGAACCAGTCAAAATTGTGCGGTCGGACAGTACATGCTTTGCTCAGGGTGCGTTTGCGGCGTCACTTACTCTTGACCTGCGTTCCGATCAGCGGATGATTGGTGTTCAATTGGTCATGGTGTTGGTTCGGGAAGATTGCTGCCGGGCACCAGATCAGTAGTGCACAGCTGGCGGATCGAGCACCGGCGAAAGTGCTTTCCAGCCTTCAGTCACCACTATGCCCTACAGAGGGCAAATCGGCAATGGTTGCATCTCTAGCGAGCCTGCACCATGTGTGTTGACTCTGTTTCCGACGGTCCCTACAACTACTCTCGAAAGTTTTGGTTTTGGGTGTGGTTGAGCAACGCCAAATTGACAATACGCAGACTTAGGAAAGCGCGGTTATCCTGCTGATAGCCGAGAAGCCACATGTGCATACAGTCACTTCGTGGTACCGACTTTATTGGTGTATTGAGGAACAGGGTGTGTTCTGAGCGCAGTTGACTAAGCGAGGCAAGGTCTCCCGTACATTCAAAATACCCCCTTTCCAATAGACGATGCGCGGCGGAAACCTTCGGTAAGAAACTGAAGGTCGAAGTATTGTGGGAGGAGAACGCGCCACCGACTGCACAGCGCTCTCAAAGTGCAGTTACAAGGAAGACGTCTGTCAACGGCTTTGTCGGTGGCGTTCTCGCGTGAGGCAACCAAATAGTTTTCAGCACGGGACTGTCTTCCAAGGCTTCAAGTGAAGAGTATCGTGAAAAAAAGCGCCCGGCACACAGTTTCGGTGATGGAACACCGACCGCTGCTTGTACCCCTGCGGCAAGCACGGGGCTGAATTCTGAACAATCTAGGATTGAGGCATGGCCATCCTTCTGGTGATATGTGTCATGAATTCACTGAATCTCTCGCTACTTCCCAGTGTCTCTGCCATGGGCGCTGAGAAACCGACCTACATTTACCTCTGGAATGTTTGTTCCTCTTGATCGTGCTTGGAATCGTGCTTTCAGTCATCGCGTAAAGCCGCCAAATATAATAACCAAGGGCAACGATGCTGTCTGGAAGATGGCTGTACCACGTGGCCATCGTTCGGCAAATATGGCAGCAAGAGGGCAGAGTTCTGTTCCCAGCACGCGAAGCCAGGAATGACTAACGTGAAACACAAGAGGTGCGGTCATCCAGGGTGCACCAAACATCCGTCATACGGCAAAGCAGGCAGCAAGACGGCTGAGTTTTGTGCCCAGCGCGCCAAGTCAGGGATGACAAACGTGAAAGACAAGAGGTGCGGTCATCCAGACTGCACGAAGCATCCGTCGTATGGAAAAGCCGGCAGCAAGAAGCCGGAGTTCTGTGCCCAGCACGCAAAGCCAGGGATGATCCATGTGTTGAGTAAGAAATGCGGCCATGCCGGGTGCACCAAACAGCCGTCATACGGCAACACCGGCAGCAAGACGGCTGAGTTTTGTGCCCAGCACGCCAAGTCAGGGATGACAAACGTGAAAGACAAGAGGTGCGGTCATCCAGGTTGCATGAAGCATCCGTCGTATGGAAAAGACGGTAGCAACAAGGCGGAGTTCTGTGCCCAGCACGGGCAACAGGGCATGGTTGATGTCATGAAGCGGAGGTGCGGTCACGCAAGTTGCTCGAAGCAGCCGTCGTACGGTAACGACCGCAGCAAGAAGGCGGAGTACTGCTCTCAACACGCGCAGCCGGGCATGGTCGATGTCGTCAACAAGCGGTGCGGTTATCCAGGTTGCGCGAAAGGGCCGTCGTTTGGAAAAGAAGGCAGCAAGAAGGCTGACTTCTGTGCCCAGCACGCGCAACAAGGCATGACCAATGTCGTCCGGAACAAGTGCGGTCATCCAGGTTGCACGAAGACGCGGCACTATGGAAAAAACGGCAGCAAGAAGGCAGAGTACTGTTCCCAGCACGCGCCGCAGGGCATGGTCGATGTCGTCAGCAACAGGTGCGGTCATCCAGGTTGCACGAAGAGGTCGTCCTTCGGCCACGACCTCAGCAAGAAGCCGAAGTTCTGTGCCCAACATGCTCAACAGGGCATGGTCAATGTTGTCGGCAAGAGGTGTGGCCATGCAGGGTGCCCGAAGCGGCCGTCATACGGCAAAGATGGCAGCAAGAAGGCTGAGTTCTGTTCCCAGCACGCCAAGCCAGGTATGACCAACGTGAAGGACAGGAGGTGCTGCCATCCAGGTTGCACGAAGCACCCGTCGTATGGCAAAGACGGCAGCAACAAGGCGGAGTTCTGTTCTCAACACATGCAGCAGGGCATGGTCGATGTTACGAGCAGGAGGTGCCGTCATCCAGGGTGCACAGCGAGGTCGTTCTATGGCAAAGACGGCAGCAAAAAGGCGGAGTTCTGCTCTCAGCACATGCAGCAGGACATGGTTGATGTCGTGAGCAAGAGGTGCTGCCATCCAGGTTGCACGAAGCACCCGTCGTATGGAAACGACCGCGGCAAGAAGGCCGAGTTCTGTTCCCAGCACGCCAAGCCAGGGATGACCAACGTGAAGGACAGGAAGTGCTGCCATCCAGGTTGCACGAAGCACCCGTCGTATGGAAAAGACGGCAGCAAGAAGGCGGAGTTCTGTGCCCAGCACGCGCAGCAGGGCATGGTCGATGTTCGCAGTAGGATGTGTGGTGACCCAGGTTGCAGGAAGTTGCCGTCGTTTGGAATCGACGGGAGCAAGAAGGCGGAGTTCTGTGCCAAGCACGCCAAGCCAGGGATGACCAACGTGAGGGACAGGAGATGCTGCCATGCAGGGTGCACCAAGCGTCCGTCGTTTGGAAAAGACGGCAGCAAGAAGGCTGAGTTCTGTGCCCAACACGCGCAGCAGGGCATGGTCAATGTCGTCCACAAGAGGTGCGGTCATCCAGGGTGCACGAAGCAGCCGTCACACGGTAGAACCGGCAACGTGAAGGCGGAGTTCTGTTCTCAGCACAGCGAGCGAGGAATGGTTAATGTGCGACATGGGTAACGCCAGGAGTAGCACTAAGACCTATTGCCGCATGTGTAGTCTCGTACCGTTCTGAAACGTCGTGGTTAGGTCCATTGTGATTGACCCCGCCAAGTATGCGCTAGGAACATGGCTCGCTTGACAAAGAGATTATTCGCGAATGTTCCCATCGTAAGAACATCCGGTCAGTCTTGACCAACGTTTTCCTTCACGCGCCTAGCGTTGAAGTGCATGTATCGTCACTACGTATTTCGCCTTTGGTTTCGTCGGCTTGAACCGCTATGTGCATCGAAGCAGATATCATGCAAGGTCGTGTACTTGGGATTGTTGTTAAAAGTGAAAGTCAAGGGAACAACATCAGGTCGAGGTCATGTACCGGAGGGGCAACGAAGCGGGAGCGCGCCCACTATTGTCGTGCTTGCAGTAAATTATGGATTGCCAAATGCACAGCGAGCTGAAAGGACATTTGCTGTTGTGGCGGTGACACCCAATACAATCTTGTTTTTTTCACAGAAGTCATACTGGCTTCTCTCGTTCGACGCTGCTGAGGAAGCTCCAATTTTGTGTTGGGCGGCGGACTATCATTGTGTGAAACATGTGGCAAATCAATCAGCTCCTCTTTCTTACAAGCACCCTGTTCAGGAGGTAGTACACTGGTCCGCTGTAGGTGGTATGGGTCCGGAATGGTGGTGCTGTGATCTGTTGGGGCGAGCAAGGGTGGTTCAAGCTTGGCCATGCATACGATTATATGCACTAGGGTGAAGGGTCGACCCTATGTTCCTTGACGGGTCTGGCGGCAACAATGTGGGACAGATTAAGGTGCGCAGTAGGCGATAGATGTCGGGGTAACGATACGGCATGGCACTCAAGGATGTGCGCGAAAACAGTTTCATGCTTGACTTACGTGCACCTTCCTTGACCAGAGCTCTTGTTGCCTTCGCAAACCGACTTGTTCTGGATGAATACCCGCATACTGCTGAGGGTGGTTGTGAGGGTGCAGTTGGGGCGTTCCTGCTGTATTTTTGCTCTTGCCCTAGGACCATTAGCATGCATGTATTTAGTGGGGGTTCGCGTGAGGCCTCCAGCTCTGAGGCCTGGGGTTTCACTGATGCACTGCCGCGCACACTGCGGTCGGCGCGGAAATGAATCTGGAAATATCTCGAGGCGTCAAGCCCTTATTATATCACGCTAGCAGTAGAGTGGGTGGGCGGTCTCACGTATTCTGTATTTTTCCTTCCCGTGGTTTTCTCGTATTCACGGTCATGAGAAATACAATGGTTGGCTTTATGCACATTTGAACATGCACTCAGGGCAGACCCCTCCATCCTTTTTTGGGCTGAATTTGAAATCGTTTTTTGCAACCCTGGTGTTACTGTAGTGTTCTGTCCAAAAATCGAGGATGATTTCTTTAAGTCTTGGATTTTGAAGTGAGGCCTCCTGCGCCGGCCTGTGTTCCGGCGCATACTTGGTTGCCTCCGGTATCAGAGTTGTGACCAGACTCACCTAACCCTTATCGGGGGAATGGTGTATGACAATAGTGACCTGCACACGCAGCGAAGTCCCGCTGGAACGCGGAGACAGAGGCAGCTCGCCAGCATTTGACTATAATATTAACCCTGGCCTCGTTCCTGCTTGCTACCGCTTACCGAAGCACTGGTGGTGGCACAAAGTATATTATCTAGCCACCGACCCCATCTTCCAACCTCCGATCTTCATGATTCGTCGACCGCTGTCCCTGCAAGGGACTTGCTATAGGAACCTCCTACCCGAAATGAATGCATGGTGAAATGGACCGGCAGGCTCGCCACGTAGGTGCCCTTGTAGGGCAGCCGTCATACGGTCGTGAGAGGCAAGCGGCTTCGCTGTTCATAAGAACCCGTACCACTCATCTCGCAGCCTCGAGATACTCCGTGACCGCACGGTATTTGCACATCTCTAGGAAATCCGGGTCGGTCTGCTAGCACCACCACTGCCTCACTCGATGCACGGAAGACCTACGCAGTCGCAGTACGGCGAGATGGGGAATCATCATCGCGACGGAGGATGCGGTGGCTATAGAAAACGAATGAAACCTGCGCAAGTGCATGTATGTGTGCACAGCATCCAAAAGAAACCAGCTGAAAACGCGTAAGATGTGACGTCTGTAGTAAGAATCGTTTAGAGAACGTCGATACGATGCAGTGTGTCCAGGCGGGTCGTTGAGGAAACATGACGATGGCACAGACACCGGCAACGCAACCTCATCACTGAACATGTTAATACGGCAAATGTTGTCAGTACGATGTGAAGGAAGAGTCGCGTGGGCTTCTGAGAACCAGATAAACGATGAATCAAATAATCAGTGCGACCGGCGATGGGGGGGGGCGCGGGCAGAAAGGCTATACGCAAGATCGATAAAGACCCTAACGAATATTCGCCACCCCGGGCTAGGCGAACCCCACTACCGATAGAATCGTCCGTCACACCAAACTCGGTACGGGCAGACGGAAAAGCGGTGGCCTCGAACACGTAAAGAAAGCATTGATAGGCGGTCGTGGTCGGGGTTCCTTCCACCAGCCGTGCACTTGTTGCGCATAGGCCGGGACCGGCGCGAAAGGCTTCGGGTCTTGCGTGATGGCTTTGCGCCTGGCGATGGCCGATAACGTCCACCCACCAAATCGTGCTCGAGCTGGCATTGAGCGACTCCTCGGGAGTAGGGTAGAAGGTGGGTGAAGACCGCCAAAGTCACCTTGGGGCAATGATAGCGGCGCAAAGGAATTTGGCCCCTAGACGCCATGAGTTCCAGGATGCGCTGCTGTCGCGGCAAAACTAGGTCGTCGACCAACGACGCAACCTTGAGCAACGCGCACTCCAAATCACGCCAATCCATGGTACCGCCCGAGTTCTGCCAAATCCTGCTCAGACCGAAAACGTGTGCCTGGACCTGTTGCCAACAACGAAAGGAACAGTGGGGTAGAGGGATGACGTTAGCCTGCGGGCGCCACGGCACTAAGCAGTTGACACCCAACAACTCGGGCAACGGAACGAACACAACGGTAGATATGTAGCCGACGTTGCACCTGAGGCACGACGCACACAACGACGTGTGGTCAGTACGCCGCCAACTTGCGACTGCGGCGGGCACACAACCACGTGCAACAACCTAAACCTGTGCACGACGACGGCGCATGTCAATAGCATGTACACGACACTTCCCCTTAGAAGATATCAACGGCTCGAAGCGGCAGTTACTCGACGGAGTGGGGGGAAGGATACACCAGAGCGTGCGTACCTGATGTGACGAACGTTTACACGTGAGCCAAGCCGCACCTTGTGGCGCGGGCAAAGGGTACCCAACGGCGTGTGCAAACTACTCAGCAGGCACCCCACGGCCCGGGTACCTTGTGAATTTCGTCGCTGGCATTTGCGCGACTGCGAGTGAGTGCCAGCCGCCGGTGCACAGCGGTGTGTGCACAGAAAGTATGACGGCACGAAAACAAAACTACCCCCCGGCGCGGCCGACGGGTGCACATGATGTTACCTGCACTAGACCCGACTAAATGCGCACACCATGGCGCGTGTGCAGTAAGCGGCAAACATGGCGCGACGGCGCGCGTGACACGTTTCGCTTTGTATTGCATTCCTACCGTGAATCAAGAAAGACATTAACCGCACCGCGGTCGGGCAACCAACGACCAAATACGAGCGCTCAACGGCCGTAAGACCGCCAGATGTTATGGCCAAGGGCAACAATGCTGCCTGGAGCCCGGCTGTACGATACGGCCATCGTAGGGCGAAGCCGACATCATGGAGGTGGAGTTCTCCTCTCAGCACTCCAAAGCAGGAATGATCCGTGTGTTCGGTAAGAAATGCGCCCATCCCGGGTGCGTCAAGCAACCGTCATACGGTAAAGCCGACAGCAAGATGGCGGAGTTCTGTGCCCAACACGCGCTGCACGGCATGGTCCACCTTCATGCTAAGAAGTGCGGTCATCCAGGGTGCACGAAGGGGCCGTCATATGGCAAAGATGGCAGCAAGACGGCTGAGTTGTGTGCCAAGCACGCCAAGCCAGGGATGACAAACGTGAAAGACAAGAGGTGCCGCAATCCGGGGTGCACAAAGCAGCCATTGTATGGGCAAGACGGCAGCAAGAAGCCGGAGTTCTGTTCTCAGCACGCGCAGCAGGACATGGTCGATGTTCGTAGTAAGAGGTGCGATCATCCAGATTGCACGAAGAAACCGTCATATGGTAGAGACGGCAGCAAGAAGCCGGAGTACTGCTCTCAGCACGCGCAGCAGGACATGGTCGATGTTCGTAGTAAGAGGTGCGGCCATCCCGGGTGCTCGAAGCAGCCGTCATACAGAAAAGCCGGCAGCAAGAAGGTGGAGTTCTGCTCTCAGCACAGGGAGCGAGCAATGATCAATGTGCGGCGTGCGTAACACCAGGAGTAGCGCTTAGAGGGTTTTTCGCACGTGTGGTCTCGTACCGTTCCCAAAGGTCGTTGTGTGGTTAGCGGTCCATTGCGATTGACCGAATTACGTATGCGTTAGGTACAAGGCTCGCTTGGCAAAAAAATTCTTGACAATTGTTCACATAGTGTGAATGTCCGGTCAGCCTTGACGAACAATTTCTTTCACATACCTGATGTGTAAGTGCATGTAGCATGACGATGCATTTCGCCTTTGGCTTCGTCGGCTTTTACACCTTAACCATGGAGGTGGGGGTTGCACAAGGTGTACCACGATCGTGTGCCTGGGATCATGTTTGGGCAGGAGTACAGGGACAGGGATACTCTGTCGTCTCGGGCCCATTGTGGATGTAGGTTTTGTAAGATGGGGTCATGCAATCGAAGTGAAAGGCGAGGCAACAGCATCAGTTCGAGGTCATATAACGGTGCGGGAACACGCTCAATATTCTCGTGCTAGAGGTTAATTTACAGGTTTCTCAATTTTTCGGATTGTCAATTGCACGGCGAGCTGAAAAGACTGGTGTTGGTGATGTAGCGGTGACACCTAAAACCATTTCGGTTATTGAAGAATATCATAGTGGCTTCTGCCGTTCGACGCTGCCGAGGAAGTTCCGATTTTCCGTTTGACGGCGGAAGCATCGTCACGTGAAACGTGCGGGAAATGATCAGCTCCTTTTTGGAAGTGCCCTGTCGAGTATTGTACTGGACTGATCCGCCCTAGTTGGTATGAGTCCGGAGTGGTGGTGCTGTCCTCTGTTGGAACGGGCAAGGTGATCGGAGCTTGGGTCATAAAAATGGCAAGGTGATCGAAGCTTGGGTCATGAAAATGAATATAAGGGTCGATGCCGTGCCCCTCGACGGGCCTGCCGGCAAGAATGTGATACAGATGAAGGTGCGCAGGAGACGATGGGTGCCGGGGAAGCAGAGTTGGGATATGTCACTCACGGTGTGCGCGAAAACAACTTCAAAGCTTAGACTGGTTGTAGACCCGCATGTTGCTGAGTGCGGTTGTGAGAGCTCAGTTGGGGCATTCCTGATGTAATTTTGCTCCTGGCCTATGTAGGATCATTTAGTGTGTTTATTCGGTTTTTGGGTGAGGGCTCCAGCTCTGAAACCTGCGGTTCCACCGATGCACTGCCGCGCAAACTATGGTCGGCGCGGCCATGAATATGTACTAAGCTGGAGTCGCCAAGCGTATGTTCAATCACACTCTAGCAGCTGGGTGGGTCGGCGGTCTAAGGAGTATGGCGTTTTCTCGTATTGACGGTAAGGAGAACTACAATTATCGTAAGCATGCACATTGCAACGTGCTGTCACGGCAGACGCCCCATCCGTGCTCGTGCCAAATTTGAAATCGTTTGCGGCCCCGATTTTGCTCGTGAAATACTTATTGGCTTGGTGTACATGCTCGTACAATTGACGTTGGCCTGTCCACGGCGAAGGAACAGCAGTATTCCAGCCAGTCGGGTGCGAAGCTTTGGTGGCCATGAGGGAGCGAGGATGTTGAAATTTTGGGTTTTGGCAGGTGGGCAAGTCTGTCCATGGGAGCTTGGTCCGGGCCGAGTCCAGTGGCGGCGCTGACCGACGTATTTGCAGGTCAATTCAATGTGGGGCAGGTGAAGCTGCAATATCGTCTTGTCGGTAGAATACCACGGAAATGTTTTTTGCCGTCACGTGTGTGATTCACTTTTTAGTTCAACGCCGAGTTGCTTGTCATATTTTGACCCACGCAATGTTGTTAATAGATAGGCGCTGAGTTGTTCTCGACAAGAATGTACAGTAACCTGGTTGTCGAAGAGAGTGTCTGTTTGACGGCTGTGGCGATGGGTGAAGAGCAGAGATTGGCCCGTTCACCGTTTTGTCTGTGGGCCGTATTCTGACGCCCCTATGGTCTTTTTTGGCGTCCAAGTTGCTCTGTTATCCCGTCGGACCTGCCGGGCCAAGACTCGAGACTCCGTGTGTTAGTTGTGCGTTGCAAGCCTTGCGCTAACCCGCATGGCACCAATGACCTGCCGAAATTTTTGCCTGCTTGTCTTACCCCGGACGTGCTGAACTCTTGCGCGAACAAATCTCCTCCCTACCATGTTACTGAAGACGACGTATCGACTCCGACCGGTCGAACGTCTCGAGGTTGAAAGCAACAGCGGACATCAATCCGTTCGTGGTCGTGGTGGCACTATGGCAGTCGTATACCAGACGCACTTGACAGGTCTTCTTAACCCCTTCCTCGGAGCGCGTGAGATGGATCTACGGCACTCCAAGCCGCGCATTCTTCAGTACTCGACAGGTTCGCCTGAGCGACATCGCCAAACGAACCGTCGATGTCGTTCGATGCGCATTGGTGCAGCTACACGTGAATTGGCGCGCGATAAAGAAGACAGAGCTTTGCCCTCGGGCTTGCTCGCTCATTCCTCGTTCTACATGGGACCGGCGTGTCGCCCCTACCCCTCAACCTGCGCGTGCCTTCTTCTGGTACACACCGCACGATGGATTCTGGTGGTCGCAAGATGTCGGGACTGCATCTCCCGTCTGACGTCTACGTCCTCCGCTTCTTGGACGACCCCCATTAAAGTCACGCGCCTCCAAGTTCACAGCGGCAGCGCCCTTTTCAAGGGGTGCTAATCTCCGAAACATCGACATGTCGCGTGGCGGCGTAATGAACGACTGGTTGCCGGATGACTTCGTGCGCTCCCATTAAGATGGCATGCTTGGTTGCTGGAGTCTTCTGGTGCTCTTAGCATTTTGTTTTTTTCGTTTCCTTGTCTTCTTTCTTTCGGCTTCATTAGTTCGCTAGGTCGAGCTTTCTCTATTCCCTGCCGCGGTTTGGCCAGTTGTTGTTTAGTGTCACGACCCCTCTTTTCTTTTCTTCGCTTCCGAAACGTTTGGTTTCCGGCCATTTTTGGTACGTTGTGGTGCTCTTGTGTGTTTTCGATTTATTTTCATCTCTTCGTCTTCTCTTGTTAGAGGTTGCACTTGTGTGTTTTCGATTTATTTTCATCTCTTCGTCTTCTCTTGTTAGAGGTTGCAGACTGTAGGTGTTTCATGACTCTTCTTTGTTGTCGGTCCCACGCTACCGTGGTGGTTGTTTGGCGTATCTTATCGTTTTGTCGATACAGGCCTTTTTCGTCGTTCCAACGACGTTCCATTTTTTCAGTCATCTACATTATTATAGTATTTTTTGGTGAAATATTTCATGGAAGTCCATGGAAGTCCATGGACGTCCATGGTCTTCCATGAAACCAGTCCATTGACTTCCATGGACTTCCATGAAATATTTCATGGAAGTCCATGGAAAAAATGAAAAGTTTCATGGAAGTCCATGGAAGTCCATGACACCATGTCCATGGAAGTTCATGGAAGTCCATGAAATATTTCATCATGGAAGTCTATGAAACATTTCATGGACGTTCAAGAAATATTCCAGTGACGCCAACTTGGTTGATAAATGCCAACAATGAGCCTTGGCTGTGTTCGACATTGGTCTCCATGAAATGCGTGCATGGGCTTCATTGGACTTCCAAGAAAATTTTCATGGAACTCCTTTCACTTCCATGAAAATTTTCATGGAACTCCATGGACTTTCATGGAAGTCCAAGGAGTTCCATGAAACTTTTCATGGACGTCCATGGACGTCCATGGAACTCTTCATGAAATATTTCATGGAAGTCCAAGGAGTTCCATGAAATGCCATGAAATGTTTCATGAACGTCCAAGGAGTTTCATGAAAAATTCCATAGAGCTCCATGGACTTCCATGAAATGTTTCATGGAATTCCATTAAAAATAATAAAAAAAAACATTATAATAATTGAGATGAATCACACGGCGGGCTCAAGGTGCATCTGCTCCAAGCCGAAAGAAAAGTTAGTGGTGAAAACCATCCTCCGCCCATCAGCAGAGCCGCGGGACAATTTTGGGGGGGGCGGGGACATATCCCCATGTATCCTCGGGTTTTCCGCCGACGCGTCGACGCTTCGGCGTCCCGCCCTCGCATGGTTTGCATTATTATCGCTGGCGCTGAGTAGCTGTGGAGATCGCAGAGAGATGGCAGACACGCCGTACAATACAGGGTCGTCTTCGCAATGTTCTCATGCACACCCCCACGAGAATCGAGGAGCAGCCGCTAGCCCGCCAGTCGACCGTGTAGCCTATTGGTCAAGTCAAACGTAAGAAGACGAACGCTACGAGTAGATTTGCGAGACTGTGTTCCCTTTTCGTGCAGTGCTAGAAGCAGCAATTATTCCATGGGCGTTCATGAAACATTCCATGGACGTTCGTTCATGGGCGTTCATGAAACATGTCATGAACGTTCATGAAAGCATGTCATGAACGTCCATGAAATTATTCCATGAAATGTTTCATGACAAAGAGTGAAATTATTTCATGGAAAGTTTCATGACAAAAATGTCATGGACATCCATGGAACTTTTCACGGAATGCAGTGAAAAGTTTCATGGAATTCCATGGAATTCCATGAATTTTTTCATGATAGACCATGGAAGTCCATGGAAGTCCATGAATTTTCATGATAGATCCATGGAAGTCCATGGAAGTCCATGAAATTCCATGGACTTCCATGGTCTTTCATGAAACATTTCATGGACGTCCATGAAATGTTTCATGGAAGACCATGGAAGTCCATGAAACGGTTTCATGGAAGTCCATGGAAGTCCATGGAACTTCCATGAAAATCTTCATGAAAAAGTACGAAAATGTACAAGCCCCCATTTTTTCGTCGTCCCGACGACGTTCCAGTTTTTCGTCCGTCCGACGACGTTCGTTCCTCTTTGTCGTTCCGGCGACGCTTATTTGTTTTCGTTTCATGTGTGTCCTGTTTTCCCATTTCGTTTGGGTTCCGCCCTGTTATGGTATTTGTAGCGTTCGCCTTTTGCAGCTCTCCCGTTGGTTTTTCTTCGTGTAGTCCCAGTTTGTTCCTTCCTGTACAACCTTCTTTTGTTTTAGAGGTCAAATGATGGTCTTGCGACTCATCGAGTGAGACGTGTGGGAGGGTGAATTGTGGTATTTTGGAGCTCCGCATCCTCAATACTCTCATTTGGATTCGACAAGGAATTATCAAGTTCCGAGATTTTCGTATCATCTGCGTATGAGAACCTCCAGGGTGAGCTAGTGTTATGGGATTTGAATGTAGGAAAGTACCAACGGTAGCGCGGGCTAATGCCCAGAGGAAAGTGCGGGAGAATTTACTCCCGATTGAAGGATAAAGCAGGGGACAGGACCTTTGTAGCCCCTGTTAGAGGGAGCTGGTTTGCCCCCACATGCTCAGTCTACCACAGAGAGCAAGGAATCAGCATGCACTGCTATCCAAAGAGAGGAATCAACATGTGAGTCTTCACCAGGGTCAAGGATTGCTACACGTGTCTGTATCATTGCAACATGCTCATCTTAAGACCATGTTCAATCATGATGGTAAATTATTGCACCTACGACAGACTACAGTATGATCCCTCCTGACAATGCTCATCATACAAGGCGTTCAGTCACAATGATTTTGGTCAATTGTTTTTTCTACGACATGTAGTAAGACTACAGCCAACAACCGAAAACCTGCAGCATATTATTTTGGCTTTTCCCCTGTTTGAGCCTTTGCCGACCAGGGAACTTCACCCGTTACAAGTCTAAACACTACACTCAGTAAACGCCTGAGATTTAAGAATATATGGCAGTCAAGAAATTGAGCTTCGAAAAACTCAACATCTAAGAACTTCAGCACCATGTGCGAACTCAGTTGAGAAACCCTTACACAAAAAGCTATACAGCTACCGTTCCTAGCTCCACCTTTGGAACTTCGTACGAACCCCAAGCCTCGGCTAAAACTAGAGGTTCTTACCGTAGGTTGCGTAAACGATATCACACCTTCTGGGTCAATTTTCAAAGCTCCATCGCTCGGCAGGAAAAACGGTAATGGCGTCGAGACAATCGGCGTTGAAAGCATCTTATGGAGAGCTTTCCAAAAATGCGCCATTTTACTGCGGCATGGCCTTCGTTGTCTAGTAAACGGGCTTCGACAATCCATTCAGGGGGTGTGGTATCTTACACCAAGTACAGCCTACGGCAAGTCGGGAGCTAGCTGTACACTATTTTGCAACTACAACATCACCAAGACACAGAACAACGCTACAACAAACAAGGCAGGAGGGACGAGGGACAAACAAACAACAATATTCTAGGACACCCTTGAACGAACCCGGAGACGGGAGACGGTGATCAGCAGCCACGGCCTTGAACCAGCCCAGGCGCCAACACCCAGCACCCCACCGTAGGTGGCGCAAGATGCCACACACCCTGGACCAATTTCCAACGCTCGATTACTCCACGGGAAGGAGGATGCACAAATGAAACAACGATACGTTTTCAGAAAGAAAGCTCCCCACGAGACGGCGTGTACGACGGCGTTTTGGGCGCCGTCATTCCTTATGGTGTGGAAAATCGAGCTATGAAGATCGGTCTAACGGGGGGGGGGGGTGCTATCATCTGTCACCTACGGTATCCGCACCCCCGCCAGTAGAAAATTAAGAATCGTCTTCTGTGAGGCCTGCCTACACGGCAGTTATACCAAAGAAGACACGACCATATATACATTGCACACCTTTCTTTCGACGGGAAGACCGAACAGAACGACACACCGCACAAGCCAAAACCGGTCGCGGACACCACATCAACAATCTCCCACATACACACACCCCCCGTCATCCCTTCCAGGGTCTCATTCGAAAAGCAAGGAAAGCACTAGAAGTACGTCTACTAATTCCAGACAGCGCCCTTCCAGACAGCGCCCGGGTGTTGCCGACGAGTGACGCTATACGGTCGGGGAGTCAACTCTCCTTATGCTGTCGGGTAGGGAGACAGACACACCGCGTCCTATTTCGCCGTACGATGCCCGAAACAGAGAGACCGCCTTCGCGAGACTAACAAGTGTATGAGAGAAAATAGAACAGGGAGGGGGCACGCAGACCCTATTGTCCTAACGCTAGCCCTATAACCCAACTTCCCCGCTTACATGCTTTATCCAGCATGTTTACGTAATCGAACTACTAGAATACATGCTTTCTCCCAAACGTTTGAGAACTCACACCCAGCCAAAACGTGCACCCCGCTACCGTGGCACCGGCCCGGACCGTGTCGAGTAGGAGCACGAACTGGGTGAGGACAGCCAACTGCGTGGCCACCCGACGGTGAACAACAAGGAGGAAAGCGCAAGAAACAGCTCAACGGCACGCTGGCCGCTAGTTCCATCGTAAACGCACACGAACAAGTTCTTGTGGCCGGGGTAGGCCACGGCACGGCGGCTACTACTGCTGTTATGGCCTATCCGTAATGGAGCAAAACACTCGAGCAACGACGTTTGAGATGAGATGAGCAACACAGGGGTGGGTGCTGTATGCGAGGACCGGGCATCGCCTATACGATCTTACACGTGCTCTGCACGCTTCGTGGGAATATGTGCGTGCGCCATTACACCATCATCTCCCTCTCTCTGTTCGCGCGGTAACGGAAACACTTCGAAACGTACCGGGAACTGACCGGAACGAACCGCTTGGTCAACAGCAAAACACACTGAGAATTACCACGGAATGAACCGTGACAAACACACAAGTTAACTACTACGGAACGGACCATCATCCACACACAAGGTCCGGTAAAAAAACAGCAAAACGTAGTGGGAACTACTACGGAATGAACCGTCATCGACACAAAGGTCAGGACAAAAAAACAAGCCAAATTACAGGGGGAGGGACTTCGACAAACATACAACCAAACACCAAGTAAAAAGGGAAATAAAACGGACACATGCACACAACAGTAGTGACGCAAAGACTTCTCGGATACTCACGACGCTACTCCAGACCCCGCCACACACGACAAAATCGCGGACAAATAATGGTACAATAACCAAATACGCTTAGAACACCTACTACACGAGCGCGAGGCCTAAGGCGCTACTACACCCTCTGTTGCCTCTCACCACGAGAAGAAAGAGAACCGCCAAAAAATGGAAAAGGAGGGGGGGGGGGGGTCCACGCGACTAGCGGGCGGAGCCCCGCTCGATTCCCGCGTTGCTGGGGTTCCGCGGAATCGGTCTGCCGGCTCTTAGGACCGCGGGACGTAGGGTTCGGGAGAGGTCTGACTCCTGCGAACGAAACGAACAGTGTTCGGTCAAACGGGTCGGGGAAGCGAAACTTTAGAGTTGGCGACGATGAAATGCCTGCCGACTCGTGTGTTGCTCAGGCAAGGCGTAGAGAGACGCAACTGTTCAATGACAAGAGCGGTGAGTAGTTTTTGTTTTGCGTGGGGTGTGTACGCTTGGTTGGGCGTCGATGACTGATTCAGCAAATATGTAGCCCTCACTCAAACTACAACTAGTAGCCCTCGCTCGAACCAAAGCGTCTGCGGGGTTCCCTTGCCAACGTCAACATCAACCCCAAGCAACATGTCTTTTCGGCGGTTCGCCTCGCAGACCCCCAACCCCAACCCATATCACCATGTCTTATCCCTAATAACATGTATTTTTACCTCTGCAAATCCCATTCCGCCCCCGTCTCAGGCCAGTTGTGGAAATAGTTCCCAACTGGGAATCCCGATAATACGCCTTTTACATCCAAACCCCCATGAGGCCGCAGGAGTTCTGCGTACTTCGTTGGAAAAGCTCACGAAAGCGTTTTGGCATTCAGCACTCGCCTCACAGAGACCCGTTTGCATTCAAACCTTCGAGGCCGCGTAGAGCATTGCTGTGAGCCTCTTCGAGCAAAGTTTGGGGAGCTGCGGTGCAGTGTGTGTTCACCATGCTTGGTAAAATAGGAATTCCAATTTGGAATTGCTGGACGATCCTGGTGGGAATTCCTCATGAATTCTCAACTGGAATTGGTTGGAATTCCAAATTGGGAATCGTGAATTTGCTTTCATATCATTGCATACTCTACGCACACTGCACTCTAGCTGCCCAAACTTGGCTCCGAGAAGCTCACAGTAGTGGAGTGTACAGCCTTATCGGTTAGATGGCAAACAGGGGTCTGTGAGGCGAGGACGAACTGACAAAGCGCTTTGGTGCTCTCTGCTTGCTGCCCAGTACGCAGACCTCCTACAATTAGGGGGTGGTGGAGCATTATCTCACGATCCCCCGGATTTCCATCCGGAAAATTATTTTCCATAACAACTGACTGGCCTCATGAGATATCTCCTCCGCCGCACTCCTACCACTACAGTAGATGTATTGTCTGCGGGTTCCCTCGCCAACGCGAAACCCATACACCATACACCGTTTGCGGGTCCCCGTCGCGAACCCCAACCCTATGTATCACCTGCGGATCCCCTTCTGCCGCCGTCGCTTGAGGGGCCTCCTCCGCCCCGCTCCTGTTGCCTCTTCCGCTGAAGGTCCGGCTCATCATGCGGCCCTTGCGGCCACTACCGCCGCCGCCGCCGCCTTTTCTCCTGCTCTTCTCGCCACGCCCGCCGCCCCCCTTCGAGCCCTCCCCGACCGCTCTGCTCCGCCCCATCTCCATCGTGTCGAAAATACCACCGATTTCCTCCTCCTCGTCGTCGTCGTCATTGTTGCTGCTGGAGAAGCCTTCCCTGGTAAGGGTGCCAGTGAGGCCCTTGCTGCTGATGCGGCCGCTTGACCTACCGCGGCCGACGGTGGCCTTGGATGCCGCCGCCGCCGCCGCCGCCCTTGACGCCTGCGTCGACGAGAAGCGGCTGCTGACGCTTCCGCTGCTGTAGGCAGTGCCGTCCGAATGGTCCTGAAAAAAAAAAAACAACATGACAAGACAGGTTCAAGGATCACGATGCAAATTACAAAAAACTGTAACTATACTTCTAATGCATGCAAAACATCATGTTTTAGTTTCTTTTGCGTGAAAAACGGGGGGTGTAGACCAATGATGCGAAGCGGGTGGCTAGAGGAAACTGCGGGTGGTCTAACGAATCTCCCAGGCGGGAGCGCTTGGTACTGCTGCTCTGATAAAACAAGCAACACACCTAGATCATTTCAACACAATGCGTCCATACAGGCCGAAATGCTCTATGCACACCGGTAGTACAGAAGAAGATGCCACACCGTAAGGTTGCAAGTCAGCGCACAGGGGTGCGATCGATTTTCAAAGGGCAATTTTCTCCACAACCAGGAGGGTGCGAGCGCCAACTGATACTTCTCGGGAAAGCTCTCGACGGGATATTTCCAAAACCGCCCCTTTCGACAGTGGTAACCAACCTCCTGGTTGTGGAGAAATTACGCTTTCAGAATAGCTCGCACCCCTATGCCCCGACTCTCAACCTTACGGTACACTACTAGGGTACCACCTCAATGCATGGTTCTTGGATGGGAAGGTTTGAGCCTGCATTTCTTTCACATTTAAGACGACGCAAGTACCACTGGAAGTACCAGCACGAAGAGCAGCAGCAGCAACAACAAGAGCAATGATGACGCGAGTCATAACATAGAGAAACAAAATCAAAGCACACTCACAAGAACAACAATCGATGAGAGCTGCAGCCAACAGTAGTGTGCACGAGACAATTACAAACCAAGAACACACAAGACGGCCGCCAAACTGTCTTTGCAGAGCCTGTTCCCCGCGGGGAGATGTCCCTGTGTGCTGCTCGGGGAATCGGAGAGACACAGGGAGTGCTCCCGCTAACGCGATGGACCCACTGCTAATGAATACTATGTCTATGACATACAGTTGAGTGCCCGCACTAAAGAACCTCTAGTTTCGGTGGGGGCTTAGGGTCTTTTCAGTTCCTAGAGGTATGCTACGAACGGTCGCTATACTTGATTATTGTAGGGGCCTAGAGGTATGCTACGAACGGTCGCTTTACTTGATTTGTGTAGGGGTTCCTAACCGAGATCACAAATCGTGTTCAAGTTCTTTTGAGTTTTTCGAGGCTCGATTTCTTGATTTCACAAAGATCCTGCCTGAGTGCTGGCGCTACACCTGAAAAAAGCAAAACAAAAAACACGCCCGTCGGGGTTTCCGCTTTCTAGGCGTTTGCTTCTTCTCACCGAGGAAGAAGCGACTCTTGCCCTCTGCATGGGGTTCTGGTAGACATCCCCCTGAGGCGACAACACGCATCGAAGGCGGTGGGCACGTGGGTAGGTGAGTACGTTGGGCATGTGGGTGGGTGGGTGGGTGGGTGTGGGTGAGAGGGTGGGTAGGTTATCGTAAAGCATTGCGCCTGGTCTATGCCCTAGTGTCCCTTTTTAGGGTACGTTCGCCTGTGACCACGGGAATCGACCGCGTCAAGTGTTGGATCAGTACGGACGGACATATGAAGGTACTGGGTAGAGAGAGATCGGAACGGTTTTTAATGTGAAGAGAATAACAACAACAACAACAACAACGTCCTCAGGACAAATATGACGGGGAGCGGTGGACAGGAACGCCGGCTTGTGGTAGG